TTAATTAAATATTTTAAACAAGAAAAATAAGGAGTGAAAATAATTTTCAAAGAAATATTTATAATCACATAACATGTGTAGCAATAGTTAACACTAGAAAATATACATATAAAAATTTGAATTACACTTGCAGTGACTAGTCAGAATAAATGAGCATTATAATATCAACCAACAAAAGAATTTTTAATCTTAACTCCTTACTCATTTAAATCCCCAAGGTCAAACCTCCAACTACAAATAATTCAAATTTTATCTTCTATGACCATAGAATAATATTTGTCTTTAAATACGTGAAGAAATAACAACAAAACGAGTCAAAGATATTTTAACAAAATTATATTATAGTTAATCATAAAAACAATCACGCTAAATAAATTTGAGTATTTATCATTATTTAAGCTTTAAATAAATAACATTTATGTAAATGAAATATATTAAAGAACACCAATCATGTAAATGACAATGAAAGCATTATGAAATAATTAAACAATATAAAATATGAACATTTTAATAATTATTATGGATAAAAATATTCATAGGTTAAGCAAATAAATGAGGTTAGGGACACCTCACTAGATAAATACACATAGAAAATAACATAAATAAATAAACATAGTAGTAGATAAAATTTTAAAGAGATAAAGTTCTCCTCCCCCTTACCTTAAGGTCATTTATTTTTTTTCCTTTTTATCTTTCTCTTTCTTTCTCACTTTTCTCCTTCGCTCTCTTTTTTTACGTTTTCTCACGCCCATATTGTTCACCTTATCTCCATTTGGTTCTGATTTGTGATAACTTCTGTTTGATTCTTATCCCTGATTATCTACTGCTATTCATATAGCTATAGATTATTATCTACTACTATTCTTATCTCTGTAAATTAGGGACACTGTAAATTCATTTCTAAGGCAATGCACCAGGGACATGTAGTCTCATTCATTTATTGCTAATACACGTAACTGCCCTAACTGCCCACGTAATCTAATATACGTAACTGCCCACGTAACTGTCTTTTCCGTATAAATTATTATTATTGCATATATATATATAAATAGCGCTGCAAATTATTATTATTGCATATATATATATATAGATAGTGTTGTACATTATTATTATTGCATATATATATATATATATATATATATATAGATAGGGCTGCACATATATACTACACGTGTATATTTATATATATTTTGAATAAAAAACTTATTTAATTACTAAAGTCTCTATGCATAACTGTACAAACCATTGAATCATTCCATTTTATATGTCTATTACCTTATAATAAGTTGTTTTGTTATCTAATTATAATAAGATATTATAAATATTTATAATATAATTGGATATCATACATATATATATATATATTTAGTTTAGTAAATATAAATAAAAATAACCTACTAGTATTTACCTATTCATTTTAAATATATTAACTAAATTTAAGAGTCTTTAAAACAATTTAATAATAATAATAATAATAATAATAAAATTGTGAATAAATATTATATAATTCTATTTTATTTTACTGAAAATTTTGTAATAAAAATTTAATATATTGTAATTATATAAAATATTTTACTTATTCTCTATTATATATATATATATATATATAATGACTAAAAATTTAGATTACTATCTTAAGAAGAGTAAAAATTTGAGAATATTACAATTGCGACAAGTTCCAGAAAGGTATACAAGGGACAGTTTGGAGAGCTCTGACATGAAGATTATTGGCCTACTTACATTGATCCAACTTTGTGGCCAAATCCAGAACTCAAGCGAACTTTCAAGGATCGACCAAAGTCCAACATAATCAGTTTCTACCACCATTGATCTTTATTATTGTATTGAATTTTAATAAATTTATTTAGATATATTTGTAATGTTAATATTCAATAAATTTAATTAGTTGATGTTAGTTTCTGAGTTTTGGTATTTAATAAGTGAAAATCGAAAAAAAAAAATTATTTATAGGCTAGAATGGCCCGTTCCGGATGCAGAACGGCCCGTTCTGGTTCCACTTTTTATGTGCTAATTTGATTTTGGAACGGTCCGTTCTGATCCGTTTTCCATGTGTTATTTTTTTAATTCGGAACGGCTCATTCTGAACGTGAACAGTAAATAGTGCTAGTTAGAGAAATAAATTTGCACAGTTACTATTTGGATAAAAAAAATTTAAAATAATATTATTTATGTAAAAAACTCTTTATTATCACGCTTTAATTGATAACATTAATCTATTATTATTATTATTATTATTATTATTATATAAAACACAAACAACTATTTTACAAAAAAGTGTTTATATTGATTTTTCTTTGACAAAAAGGTTTTTAAGGATTGTACAACTTCATATCAAATTTAATTTTTATTTATCATAATTATTTAAAATTAAACTTTAATATTTTAAAACAAATTATATATAAATAAAATAACCTTATACTATAATATAAATTATTTATCATAAATTGAAAATTTAATTTATATTTAAAATATCTATTAATTTGTTCAAATTTTATTTATAATTTATATAACCAAATATAATATTTTTATTTATATATAATTTATTTTAAATTTTAGTTATATATAATAAATATTTTACTTGTGCGTTATATAAATTAAAATACTAACAATTATACATAAAAGAAAATTTTGTCTAATATATAAATGCCACATGAATTTATCATGCTCATTTTTTTCTCATTAAAATATATCTATTTTTTTTAATTCATAAAAATACTAAAGTCATTTATTTATAATAATAATAATAAAGATGCCTATAACAAATATATGTTATAATTTATTATATTATGATGATTTTTTTAACATAACACTTTATGTTGGGTGTGAGAGATTTGAGATTTTTTAATTTAGTTTTATTAGGAAAGTGGAATTGGCGTTTGTTAGTGGAGAGAGATTGTTTCTAGAATAAGTGGTCACTTCTATTTATGGGGCAGTGGCTTCTTTGAATAGGAGAGGTGGTCGTAGAGGAGTATCTAGGTGGTGGTATGACCCGTAGAATATTGAAGTGGGTGCAATAACTACATGTAATTGGTTCTCTAAGGAGTGTGTGAGAGTAGTGGGGAATGGTAGGAATACTTCTTTTTCGAGGAATTCTTGGTGTACTACAAAACCTTTTTGTGAGAGGTATATAGTGGGTTATTTTCCATCTCTAACAATAAAGAGATGTTTGTGGCGGATATGAGAGTATGTAGGGAGGGAGAGAGTGGGTGGAATTGGTGTTAGAGGAGGCAATTATTACAGTGGGAGGAATCTTAATGATCACTTTTGTTGTTGGATTTAACATGTGTTCAAATAGATGATACAAATGATGATTCTTGAAAGTAGTCAGCTGATCCAAGAGGACTTTATTCAATCAAGTCAACTTATTATGTAACTGTTAATGCCTCAATTTTTGTAGAAATATCCCTCTTCATAAGTTCATATGGTGTAGGCTTGTCCCTTCCAAGGTTTCTTGTTTTGCTTGGAGGGTGATGCTTGATAGAATCCCAACCAAAGTTAATCTTGTGAAGAGGAATTTGTTATTGTCTTTGGATTTTGGAAGTGTGTGGTGTAATCAAGGTCTTGATACCTCTTGCCATATATTTTTTGAGTGTTCCTTTGCATACCAGGTTTGGATGTTATGTTTGGAATGGTGTGGCCTCTTTGCTGCTCTTCAAAATAATTTCATATCTCATTTTGAGTAGTCCTTAGGCCTTCCTAGTTGTGTTGTTAAAAATTAGTACAAATGGACGGTGATTTGGTTGGCTATAATATGGAGTATTTGGTTGGCAAGAAATGAAGTCGTATTTGCTAATAAATTTACACCTCCAAAGGATCTGGTTGAAATGATAAAATTATGCTCTTAGAAGTGACTGAAAGCTAAATATCTTGGTTTTTACTATCCGTTTTCTTGTTGATCAGGACAACCTGTTGTATGTATTAATCTTTATTAAGTTGTCAACATTAGTGTCTCTGGTGGTTTTGTGTAGCAGTTTCTAAATTTGGTTTTTTAATGATCTTCGTTGCTACCTTTGTTTTCTTTTATTTGTTGTGCAGTTAAGAAAGAAGTGTTTTTTCGTCATTATGCTCGACTACTAGACAATGAGGCCATGGAGTATTAGTTTTATGTTTTCTTAGTGGTTTCGGTTGGCTTCGTTTATTTTGGATTACTTTTGGTTTGATTTTCTTGGTTATGTCCTGTAGGTTACTAAAGAGGATGGATTTATTTATCTATTTTTTGTTGTTTCTTATAATTGTTTATAGGTTGGAATATCCATTGTATTTCATTTTAATATATTTCATTTTGCCTATAAAAAAAAACATAACATTTTAATTGATAACACGAATTTATTATAAAAAGGAGTGTCACTTAAGTACGTGACATTCATCATATTCATTTTTTCCCCAAAAACTTACTTTATTTTTGACATTAAATAAGACCTTGTTAACATTCATCATGCTTTTTTTTTTCTTTTTTATTATTTTTTTTTTAATAACAAGTGGTATTTATCCAATTAAAACTTATTTCTGTCGGGTTTCTCGACACTTAATTTTGTCACTTACGATTTGTTCTATTCTAACAATTTAATTTACACTTTAGAAAAAAATTGATCATAAATATATATATATATATATATATATATATAATTAATGCAAATAATATTCCTTTATGTTGATTTTAGGTTCAGATCCGAAAGAATTCCTTGTAATTTTTCACAGATGCATTCTATATATTAATTCTAGATGGTATAGTATGATATGTTCAATATAATAAATGACATGCATTTGCTATATTCCCGAGTTGTTGTTGCATTATTAGCTTGAATTGACTTATTTTTTTTGGTAACGATCGTGAATTCAAACAGTAACATGATGAAGAAATTCATTTACAATCCTTACCATTATAATTATTAGATTTAGAGAAATGATCACATTTTTTTAAAAGCTCTCGGTTAGAAGCCAATTTTCGTTTATATATTTAATCTATAACATTATCGCAGGAATGATGAAAGTTTGCATGAAGGATCAGATCTCGAAATGCAGAATCGGGAGAATGATAGCTTATATAGTCAATTTCGAGGAAAACAGAAGATAATTGATTATGAAAGCTCATGGTCCTTATTAACTTTAAGTTCTGACAGAAACACTGATACAACATTGTCAAATTCACACGATTATTCCGGCCCCTCGTGAATTTATCATGTATATAGTTTTCGTTAATTACTGTAAGTTAATGTATTTTGGTTTTTGATTTCAATACTCATGAGAACTGAAATTATGAATGAGAGGAAACATATAGAATTATATATCTTAATATTGGGAATCTAGTTTATTTAACTATAATGTATCAATAAGAAAATAACATTTTGTTGACATTTCATTCGGTTGATAGTGGTGGAGCTAGAGGAGAAATTTTGAATCCATTTGGGAAAGCCATGCTTCTGAAATCAAGTATAGAGTTTCGATCTTAGCTCGTATGAGAGGGAAGTAATCAAGAATAAAGTTTCCAAAACAATAATATCTTTGAAAAGTTTCGAATATCTGCAAGTTTCAGTCCTTGTGTTCATAGTACAGAGTATACAAAGATGCTACTATTCATTGCTAGTGTTTCCATGATGATCCTGTTCTCAACATGTGAAATAAAGACTTGTACCTCATAATCATCACCGCAGCTACAGTTTAATGAGATCAAACACCATATATAATATTCCTTTATGTTGATTTTAGGTTCAGATCCGAAAGAATTCCTTATAATTTTTCACAGATGCATTCTATATATTAATTCTAGATGGTATAGTATGATATGTTCAATATAATAAATGACATGCATTTGCTATATTCCCGAGTTGTTGTTGCATTATTAGCTTGAATTGACTTATTTTTTTTGGTAACGATCGTGAATTCAAACAGTAACATGATGAAGAAATTCATTTACAATCCTTACCATTATAATTATTAGATTTAGAGAAATGATCACATTTTTTTAAAAGCTCTCGGTTAGAAGCCAATTTTCGTTTATATATTTAATCTATAACATTATCGCAGGAATGATGAAAGTTTGCATGAAGGATCAGATCTCGAAATGCAGAATCGGGAGAATGATAGCTTATATAGTCAATTTCGAGGAAAACAGAAGATAATTGATTATGAAAGCTCATGGCCCTTATTAACTTCAAGTTCTGACAGAAACACTGATACAACATTGTCAAATTCACACGATTATTCCGGCCCCTCGTGAATTTATCATGTATATAGTTTTCGTTAATTACTGTAAGTTAATGTATTTTGGTTTTTGATTTCAATACTCATGAGAACTGAAATTATGAATGAGAGGAAACATATAGAATTATATATCTTAATATTGGGAATCTAGTTTATTTAACTATAATGTATCAATAAGAAAATAACATTTTGTTGACATTTCATTCGGTTGATAGTGGTGGAGCTAGAGGAGAAATTTTGAATCCATTTGGGAAAGCCAATTAAAATTTATAAAAAATAAACATTAACTAACTTTTAAATATTTAATAATTAAAACTAATTAGAAAATATTTAAAAGTTTTAAAAATAATTTTAATTCAATTATTAAAAAAGTTATTGATATTTTTTATGTTGACATTATAGACATGAGAGGGAGATAGGAGAAAAAGAGGAATGAGAGAGAGGGGAGAGAAAAGACAGAAAAAGAAAGAGGGAAAGATTGAGAGAACAAAGAAGATAACAGTATTGAAAAGTTATTGAAATTATAAAAAAAGAATAACAACAAAGTAGTAGTAAAATTGAAAAATAATATGCAAAGCTGTTAGGATTGAGTTGCACTAATTTGACTCTTATGTTCTCTTAAGATTATCTATATATGATTTCTATCATCTAATATTATTGAGTTTATTAAGGTTATTCCAAATCAATTCCTTGCACTTAGAAATTCTAAGGGGTTTAACTCAATAAATGATTCCTCTATTTATCAAATTAGAAACCTTGCATTAAATTTAAGAATTTGTTCAACTAATAACTCCAAATCTATTCCTAGTCTTTAGAGTTGTTAGATAATTTGATTCAAAATTAGATTTAAAAAATATTTTCCAACCAAAATCCAAATTAAAGATCAAAGATGAGTGATCAAGTCGCCTTAGCATTAAAAACAAAATCAGAATTACTAACATTAAATAATGGATTATCATATATATATATATATATATATATATATATATATCAAAAGGAGTACATGAGAGTTTGATGAATTGTTCAACCCCAACTAAAAGAAAAGTTAGCCGCTTATGGTTATTAGAACTAATCTAAAATACATGGAGAAGGTGTAGAAGAAAGAAAGAAAGATCCTAGAACCCTTTTGTTCCCACTAATTATTGGACTCCTTGTTTACTCCCTATTTTTTGCACAAGTCTTCATTTTTTTTTATTTCTTTTTTATCTCCTCCTTAGTCTTTATATATGTGCAACAAAATAAAATAGATTATGGAGGATAGAGAGTAAATTGTTTAGTCGTTTCCAAATGGTTGAGCCGTTTGAAAGATTCTTCATAGTGAAGCAACTTCAATGACCGAGTCTTTTTAAACCTGTTGAGCCCCTAGGAAACAAAAAATCTACACTCCTTTGGAGCCAATTCGCTTAGCCCTTTCAAAACGGCTAAGAATTTTAACCTTTGCTTCAAATCTTGCTCTCCGCCTTTGAAGGGTTTAGCTTTTTTAAAATGACTTAGCCCTTTGGAAACGATTCAGTCATTTTTCAAACACCTAATCAAATTGAAATTTTTTGAGACTTTGGATTTTCATTGAATCCTATGAGACACAAAACAAGAGTTTAAGTACAATTTTTATCAACTCTTTATAAACTAATTAATTTATACAATACTTTTAAATTTTGTAATAGTTTAGGGATAAAACACAATTTTTTTTCAAAATTAGTTAAATAAGTTAAAAAAAAAACTTAACTCATTTAGATAAAATTGACACTTATCCCTATGCTAGTCAAACAATTATGAGAAGATGGATTCCAAATATCTTCATGGGGCCGAGAGGAAATACATCGACTGTTCGTATTGCCGGATTTATTATGATAATTAATTTAATATGTATGTTTTTCATTGCACGGTTTAAGACACTAGTTTTAGAAATAAAAATGGAAATAATAAATTAAGAAATTTATTAAGTTAAGAAAATCTTCTTAAAGTACTTTTGTTGAAGAATTAATAAGTTCTAAAAATGTGCTTCTTCATTATGTAATTTTTATATATAAAGGATTAAAAGAAAAGAAAAACTTAGTAAGGTTTTAATTAGTGTCTTCATGTGAGATGTGTGAGACTTAGGAGATTAATAAATAAATAAATAATAATTAATTTTTAATTATAAATGGACTAAGTGGAATAATTTTTAATTATAAAGGTTATTTGATGGGAGAAATGATTTTAAGAAGTTATAAATATTAATTAAGTAAAACAAAACCTCTTTTCTAATAAAAAAAAAATCTCTTAAATTAATATAGAAAGAGTAAAAAAGAAAAATTAAGGAAGTGAAAACTGATTTTCTAGTCTCTTTTCTTAAGAAAATCAAAATGCGCTCTAAGATTTATGAATATTTCCATTATATAAAAACCTACATATAGTATTATTTTGTGATATGAAAATCATAAATTTCAAAGATTTTAGTAGTTTTTATTTATTTTTTTTATTTTAATAATTGATAGTTGTACTAACCGTACTTCGCACCCGGGCTCCGAGCCCGGATTAGCAATACAAAACAGCCCCGGGCACGCGTTGCGCGACGTCAGCCCGGTATTTGAGCAAATCATACCTGATTCCGAGGATCTCGTCCCAGATCAGATCTGCCCTTCAATTATATCATATCATATCATGATATATCTTATCTCAAGCCCAAAAGCCCAAGACAAACCTAGATCACCTCAAGGTACGTGCATTATATATATGAGACTATTACTCATGCAAACCCTAACTTTGGCATCGAAGTCTCTTTTGCAGGTACCTCCCCCATCTTGGAGCACCAATACATCAAGCAAATGAGGCTCACCGATCTTACTGGACGGATCACCCCTACGACCAAATTCCGGTAAGAACATTTGGCGCCCACCGGGGGGCCGATCGAGACAGCCGTCATCGGCCACCTGTATGGTTTCTACTAGAAGCCACATTAGACGAGCAACAGAAGACGCTGCACACTCAACCACCATGGACAGCAACGCTGCGACCTTGAGAAGGCTAATCGACCAAGTCGAACAGATGCGCCAGCAGCATGACGCTGACCTGCGCAACACGCGTGCCCAGCACGAAAGTGACATAGCGGCGATACGGACCGCCAATGAAACAGACCTCGCAGCATTACAAGCCAAGAATGAGTATATCCGCGCCCAGCTCCCTCGACACCTTGGTAACGTCTCTGACTCTCAGCTCAACCTCAGCGGAGCAGGGCGGAGTGGGGCAAGTCGGGAACCCGGATCAACCCTCTCATGGGAGGTAATCGGTGCCATCGCAGGAGGCTTCGCAAGAGGGGGAGCCAGCAGCTCAGCCCGCAAGAAACACCTGCGCAAGGTTAATCGCGTACACTCCGCCACCTGCGCTTTACTCCGGAACCCGCCAGTGATAACTTTCACCGATGACGACTATGTCGGGGTCAGACGAAATCAAGACGATCCCATGGTCATAGCTGTGGCATTGGCCAATTGGGAAGTTCGCAAGACCTTGGTCGACCAAGGAAGCTCGACCGACATCCTATACTGGCCAACATTCCTTAGGTTAGACATCCCCCACTCTCTCATACAACCTCATACCGAACCTCTAGTCGGTTTTGCAGGAAAAAGCATTCACACTCGGGGATATGTAGACCTACTAACGACTTTCGGAGCACCCCCGGTTTCCAGACAGGTCTTGATACGATACCTACTCGTGGAAGCTGACACCTCCTATAACGTCATCATCGGCAGACCAACCCTAAATCAGCTCGGGACAGTGGTGTCTACTCTGCACCTCACCATGAAAATTCCAGGGCACGATGGGAAGATCATCTCCATCAGAGCAAACCAACAGGTAGCGCGACAATGCTACGCAGAAAGCCTGGAAACCGTCTCACCAAGCGAACAGCGCAAGAACGACCTTACCGCTCTGGCTCACACCGACCACGAAAAAATCACCGATCTCGACCCGAGATCCGACACTCATGACGAACGACCCAGCCCCGTCGATGAGCTCGACGACCTTCAAATCGACAAACTCCCCGGACAAACCACGAAGATCAGCCGACAATTAACCCCCGAACTACGACAGCAACTCCAAGCGGAGATCCTCAAGAACGTTGACCTCTTCGCCTGGTCTAGCGCTGACATGCCCAGTATAGACGCAGACTTCAT